AATATATAATAGTTGCTGTATTAAACGGATGATAGGGGCCTCAGATTTAATTTTCACACACGGTACTTTCAATTGGCTTAGTTACTGGTAACTGCGTACAACACAAGTTATATTGAAACGTATTCAAGAACGAACATATAAAAAAATAAAACATTCGAGTAAATATAACAAAAATTAATCTGCATATTAATAATTGCATAATCAACTATTTGCAAAAGTTTTAAGCTAAATTAATTTATTACAAATATTTAAAATAGCACCTAATTAATTTCAGTAAGTACCTACAAAATAATACAAATATTATTTTCCGAAAGTAGGTAATCACTTCATGTGTTGAGCTGTTCTGACACTCATCATATTATAAATATGCACCGATATGAGCTGAATCAAAGATAGTTTTATTTTTTTATCTTAGTTCTTCTATAAAATAAAAGTACCTAGCCACGTATAAGACAATATTATAAGTTTATAACTGAAGCACAACGTAATACTATGGTACAATGCGAGTACCTATATAATACTCGTATCATAATAGTTTTAAATCGTTCATTACTTTTCTTGAAAGAACATTTAACGATAATGGCTAGTAAATAAAATGTTGTTAAGTTTGCTTATATAGGGTATCCTTAAAATTTATCTTTGTAGGCCAACATTGCAAAACAAATAGGAGATAATTTTCAAACACTTAACATAGGTATATTATATTAAGTAATATATAGTCGGTATAGGCAAACAACTGCACATAATATTATTTATCACATCATATTCCTGGTATTCGCTAACAATTACATTTTTATTATATTAATATGCGTCACTAAGCATTTATTAGGTAGGTAGGTACTAAACAAATAATGAATCATAAATAATTAGAAAATATATAAAACGCTCCATTTACAAAACACAAACGCTGCAGCTGTAAACGTATTTGATAATAATTAGGTAAATTGTGCATAATGTTGTTCTTTGTACGGGTGTAATTTATTTTTATAAGATTCATTTGCCAGAAAATAATTGCGTAAATATTACAATAAGTGATTTTTATGAGCCAATTTATGGTTAGGCTATTTTAAATGTATTAGACTTCTTAGGAAATGTAAGAAAAATAATTACTTTTCATTTGATTACATTTCAAATACAAATAGAAATATCATCATTCCAGACTTTATAGAACGAATGAAATATATATTTTTAATATAATATAAATCCAAGAGGATTTCTTTGACAATCTAACAAAAAAAATAAATTAAAGTCTGTATGATAAATTACACGAGAAAACTATTTTTTAAATCAACTTATATATATATATTATATAATATTATTAACTTGTTTAGACAAATAATTTTTTATAAGAAAAAGGACTTACTTCATTATCAGACATAAATTAAATATAATATACATATACAATGAAAGACGTAGAAGTAATCATATACTAGAAGACAAACTTAATAGATATAAAATATACTTCCTTGATACGATGTAGATAAATGATGTCATTGGAGTAATGTTTGATTTAGATTAAAGAATATATTAGGGTTGTAGGAAATTAAAGAAAGTATTATGATTAAAGTAATATATAAGTAAATCAGAAGGCAATCGTCACAAGATTCGATAACGAAAATGATTTTACCACCAATTCAAGAAACCTTTGAAATGAAAAATACGTATTTGTAATATTATATTAATAATGTTTCGAAAATACGTATATTTCAGGTTCACAAAATCAAATAGGTAACTTTGTTTAAAACAAACCATACAATTTAACATACCAACCTATATATCATTGGAAAAAATATTCTCTATTCGTGGCAAATCTTTACCGAATGAATTTAAATGACAAACTCACGTCTCTAGTATAAAGTATATAACTGATGCGAAATCAAAGTTTTTGACAATTCCCGAGACGAAAACTGAAGTAGATAAAATGTTGTAGGAACACCAAATATATAACATTATATTATATTTCTAAAATGAGAAATCAATACTATCCTCAACTAGTTTCGACAAGTCGAGTAGAAACCATATTATATGTACTATAGACTATAGTAGCTATAGTTTCCATTCCTATAGTCATCGTAAAAACTAATATTCATAAGTACCTAATAACTCTCGGTTTATTACTTACCTCGGTAGGTACTACAACTTCAATCACAAGTTTCGAAATATAATTAAGTATAGATTACTATACATGGCGATAATCATTAATAATTGTAAAATTAACTTAATAAAAATAAATATCATATAGTTGCAGGTGCGGTTGGTTAAGTCAGTAAAAAGAAAATATTTAATTTCGTATAGTTTGATGATGACTCAACTGTGGCGCTATGAAACGCGTATAGCTCATCATATTATTATGTATATATACATATGCAATAAGTATGATGTAGGTATAATGTATTAATACCTTTCCTGCTCATCTTAGTATATACCTACTATAGATGTGCCGCACAGTCATAATAATTTATCCTCCATTAGTCATTTTACGTGTACCTACTATCTACCTCCTTATTTTGTAGAACGTATACGTTAGGTAAAACACATGATCTCACATAAGAAATTTGTCACCATATCATAATATTATTCACTGCATATGGGACGACGAGAAATTGTACCCACCGCGGTATTCACTTCATTGATGATATAATTAAATTAAATTAAACCAAACAGTATATTATTATACTATATTATAGTGTGATGAAGACATTACATTATAATATATTATATATCTACTATTCTGCTTAGATGCCACCAGGAAAAAACGTTTTTCATACCTATCTTTAAATTAATATAAAATGGTTAAAAAGATTCATGTAACTCTTATAATAATATTATTATACCACTGGAAAGCTGGACACACGTGGTACTTAAGAACTATATTATTAATACTTCCAGTAGTCAAGAAAATGGAAATAAACCAATAATATTTATAAGGAAGACTCTAGCCTCGTTGTTCCAAAAAATAAAACACTAATAATTTAATATATTTTGACATATAATCGGAAATTTTATAGAATTTACTACATTGGACAACAAGTTTCCGATTTAATTACTTACATTATTCGTTAATAATTCATAATAATAAAAAAATATATATAATATCAAGTACATTTACTTATGGACATTTATTCACCAAGAATGCTCACTCCCAAATTGGATTTTTAAAATAATGATATAATACAGACAATGATAAATAATAATTATTGATTTATACAAACCTTCATAACCTACTATCCCATACGGGATATGTATATTGTGATTAACAGTGAAAAATAATCCTCTCAAATGCAAAAAATAATTGTTTAATTATATTTATCAGAAATCATTAAATATGTATTAAAATTAATGTTTGAGATTTTGAGTTGCAATAAAAAAACATTAAAAATAAATTAGACAAATAATGGTTATAACTGCTGCTATTATAAGTCGTTCTAACGTCTGCAAAGATAGATTATGGTAATTGTCTGGATTTTTTTTCATTTGTATTCTTAATAACCGGGAGTAAAATGAAATGTTAAATATATTAGTTAAAAAAGAAAATACATTAACTGTCAAAAATATTTCAATAAGCCTGGGGTACCTATCGATAATCGTTGAATAAACGCTATTAAAGTATCACAAAAGTTTTGTTGAATGCAGGAGAGAATTATATATATTATATTATTGTATATACATATGCCTACTTAAAACTCTCTAATCCTTTGGAATTAAACGCACATAATCCAAAGTGAATAAATATGTTTATTTTTAAATCCACAGTGCTCCGTTAAAAGGATTGGTTACGACGGCGGAAATAAAATTAAGTCTCCAAGTTCACGTTCGGACGTTATACGTATAATCATATTATATAGTTTGTGATGGGCGTCTGAGAAAATGAAAAAAAAAGAAACAAATGGTTTTAAGGATCTGACGGCGGCGTTATACCTACCTATCTACTCAACATATTATTGTACTCAACGGAAACTTGACTTTACTCGATTCGACTTAAATAATAACAATAATAATAATATGCCGTTGGCTTGTATCCGAAACAATTTTTAAGGGTGTTGCGCAGGGTTTTGGTAATAAATAGAGACTTTATAATATATTATACACATATACATATAGTTTGGGTTAAGGCTTTTATTCAATTTATTTCATTTCGGTTTTTTGTAACCAGCAATGATTTTTGGTGTTTTTATCTCTGCTATCTAATGCAAAGTGATATAGGTAAGTCGTCTATTTTAATGACAAACGACACGGTATAAGAGAATTTTCTTTTCATATTTATTTTAACACACCTAATAGTTTTTACATATTAAGTACTTTATAAAAAATATAGTGAAGTAACAATTTGAAATATCTACTGACAGAAATATCAGTTATTTTCCAAATACAAGTCCAAATCACAAACTACATAATTTGTAGTAAGCATAAGAATCTAAGAAATCAAATTGTATCTTTATACATTGAAAACCTATACTAATGAAACAATGACTATACGCGATACAAGCAAAATAAATTTAATATTTAACTTGACGAGTATTCATAATATAATGATATAGGTATACATTATTTATAAACAGGATACTAAGTAATAACTAGGAGGCAGCAATACATACATATAAGATCATAATAACTTAAAAATGGTAGGTAATAAAAATATGGACAACAAATTATAATGTCAACTTCGAACGAAATGTTTTTTTGTAGGCCACTCAAATGTTTAGATTTTTTACGGCATTTAAGGACTGTCCAGCACATAAAATAGGATTACTCGGAATCAACTCTGTCGTATTTCAATTTCCCGTATAAAAAAAACAAGGTACTCGATTGAAACAAAATATTAAGCAGCGCATATACAGTCCTTAAACTGTCGTAAAAATCGAAGTATTCGAAAACGTGTTTTTTAAGCTCATAATATTGTTGAATATTCCGAAAATCGTAATTTGCTGCAAGATGCAGAATGCATTAAGAATACATCGCAGTGATATTCATTATATAATAATATAGTCTAAGCACAACACTCACCATTCGTCCCTAGGGTCGGGCAACGTTCTGTGCAGCGATATGAGATCACTGGCGTACTGGTTGAACGCGTTGTTCTTCCAGCCCTCGTCGACGAGCTTCTTAACGTCGGCCGTCAGGTTGGCGGGCAACACGACCGGTTTGCCCATCTCGCCATAGACTTTCCGGCCGCGTTCCTCGTCATTGGCGCCCCCCCTGTTGGGCTGCGGCAGAACGCCTTCGCCGTTCTGAAGCCCAGCGGAGCCGGCCTGCTGCTGCTGGACGATCACTGGAGCGGCCGGTTGCTGTTCCACGCCGCCTTCCAGCGGGAACTCGTCGTCCAGCAACCGGTTGTCGGCGTCCACGTCCTCGGGCAGACGGCGCTGTGCCGCCGCGATCGGCTGCTGCTGTTGCTGGTAGCCACCGGCCGCGGACGGGTCGTTGGATGCGGGCGTGATGCGCCTGTCTTCCATAAAAAGCAACACGGTGACCGTCAGCCAGACGGTGCATCCGAGCACCAGGCCCTTGAGCAGCGCTGACTTGCGGCGGTACAGGTAAGACGCGATTTTCATCGTCGGGCGGCGGGTGTGGTGATTCGTGCGGTGTTAGTGGTTGTTGCGGTGCCTTGATGCTGTTGCGGCGGAGGTCGCGGTATGGGCGCCGGCGGTGGTGCGGGCGTCGGGCGCGTTAATGTGTGACGGCGGAGTGCGATATCAGTGGTGGTCGGACGACGACGACGACGGCAGTGGCGGCGGTGGCCGAGACGTGCGCGGGGAGGTCGTGAGCGACTCCAGCCGTAGTTGTTCCCTCATGACTGGCCTGCGAAAAACAAAAACCCTCATGAATACACTTGCACGCATTGTAATATCATGAATCATAATGAAACACTATATAATATCACATTATTGTTCGAGTAAATAATAATTATTAATTTATATAAATCTGCAGCCTGCATGACGCAATATAGTTAGGTATTATTAACAATATATTATTGAATTAATTTTACCACAAAATAATAAACTTTAAATAATAAAAAAGGTGGGCAAGTGGGTGTCGCTCTGCTGTACAGTAGGTTACAAGTGGGTCACTGTATAATGGATGGTATTAAATTTGAATTCAATGATATAATATCATTGTATAAGAAAACGATTCTGAGCGGTGACGGTATGTTAGTCTATGTATAAGACATATTATATACAAATCTATGGTATTAAACAAAAAATTGACGTATAATATAGGTACCTATAATAAATTCCAAACTAATCATATCACAATATCCATTAGATACTTATAACGCGTTATACATCAACAAAAACCGTGATACTATCATAGATATATAATAGTACACTTTAGAAGTTTCAAGTATCCACGAATAATATTATACAAACACAACTAAATAACTAAAATAGTTATTCTAGGTTTTTTAATATATAATTTCGTCAAAATTTGAACTTAAAATTACTATAAAAATAAACTGTGATTATGTATTTTTTAGATTTTTTAGTTACAAAATTAACTACTTATGTGGAATCTTGTTTTAAATTTTCAATCCTTAGATATAAAAGTCGAACATTTTATAAATTTTTAACTACAAAATAATTAATCAATTTTAAATTTGATAAATTTTGTCAAAATTCGATCTTTGAATGCTTATAAAAAAAATTGTGCCTATGTATTTTTAATATTTTTCAACTGATATTGTAACAATATATCAGGAACCTAGTATTACATTTTTACACTTTTTGGCCCAACAGATAAAACTTAATTGATATTTATAGAAAAGAATACTAAAAAAATTGAAAACTGAAAATGTCCGTAAGCAGCTCAAAAAGAGTCAAAATATTTTCAAAATTTAAGGTGTATAGGAAATGCTAATATAAATATTCAATGAAATTTTCATGTATCTACGGTCATTTGTTTTAGAGTTACACCAAGAACCAAAATCGATTTTCTTGAAAACAGATTTTGCGTAAAAAGTCCCGTTTTTCCTTAATTTTTCTTTTGTTTTTCACGTCGCTTTTGAAAACTACTGTTAAATTTTTTACTTTTGACCCCCCAAAATACCAACTAGCATAACTTTCCTATCAGAAAAGATACTGTTGAAGAAAATCCAAGCACTTTTACTATCCTAAAACGTGATGACAGACACAAAAAAAAAAATAAAAAAACACACATCATTGTAAAATCAATACATTCATCGTTCCACTCAGAATCTAAAATTCAATATATTTAGTACAATAACTAGGGTGGCCAGACGTCCCGTATTATACGGGAAAGTACCGTATTTCAAAAGTCTGTCCCGTTGTCCCGACATATGCTTCCGGGACGCTATATTGTCCCGTTTTTTTAAAAATATGAATATTTTCATATAATAGACCCACGAATAATATTATTCAATCACAACAAAATAGCTAAAATCGTAATTCTTGGTTTAAATATGAAATTTTATCTAAATTTTAAATTAAAATGTCTGTAAAAAATAAGTGTGTTTATATATTTTTTAGATTTTTTGGTTACAGTATGAATTATTTAAGAGAATCTTTGTTTTAAATTTTCAACTCTTAGTTATAAAAACTGAACATTTTATAATTTTTTAATTCCAACGATTGATAATTTTTGAGATTTTGATAAATTTTGTCAAAATTCCAACTTTAAATGCTTATAAAAAAAAACTGTGACTATGTATTTTTAATATTTTTCAACTGCTATTGTAATAATATATCAGGAGCCTTGTATTAAATGTTTACACTTTTTGGCCAAACAGATAAAACTTTATTGATATTTATAGAAAAAAAAACTAAAAAAAATTGAAAGCTGTAAATGTCCATAAACAGCTCAAAAGAGTCAAAATATTTTCAAAATTGTATGGTGTATAGAAAATGCTAATTTAAACATTCAGTGAAATTTTCATGTATCTACAGTTGTTCGTTTTGGAATTGCAACAAAATAAGGAAATCGCTACATGAGTAATCGAGTGAAAATCCAATGTTGTAAAAATTTGAATTTCAAACGCTCATAAAAATTTAATTGACTGTCCGGTAGAGATTTTTTTATTGATAAAGGTAGATAATCTTATAAGGAATCTTGTGTTTCATTTCAAATCTTAGATTTAAAAAGAAAAATTTTTACGAATTCTTAACTCAAAATAATTTGCTAATTTTCGTGATTTTTCCATATTTTGTCAATTTTTGAACTTTAAATGCTTATAAAAAAAATTGTGACTAAGGATTTTTAATATTTTTCATCTGCCTTTGAAACAACATATTAGGAGCCTACTATTAAATTTTCAAGCTTTCGCAACCAACAAATAAAATGTTATTGATATTTTTAGAAAAAAAACTAAAAAAAAATGGAAAATGAAAATGTCCCTTAACAGTTCAAAATAAATCAAAATATTTGAAAATGTTATCGTGTATAGAAAATGCAAATATAAACAACCAGTTCATTTGTTTTAGAGTTACACCAATAACCAAATCGATTTTTTGGAAAACCAATTTTGCGTAAAAATTCCCGTTTTTCCTTAATTTTTATGTTGTTTTTCCCGGCGCTTGTGAAAACTACTGGGAAATGTTTACTTTTGACCCCTCAAAGTACCAACTAGATTCACTTTCCTATCAGAAAAAGTACTATTGAAGAAAATCGAAGCACTTTTACTGTCCTAAAACGTGATGACAGACACAAAAATATAAAAATATAAAAATATAAATAAAAATATAAAAACATACATCATTGTAAAACCAATACATTCATCGCTCCGCTCAGAATCTAAAAGAAATATCCTTAAAAAATAATAAGGAGAAAATTAATGTTATTTTGGCAAAGGTCTATTCAAAATATTATAATTTATTGATACTTCGTAATTTAAATTTTATTTAAAAAAAATTATCTTAATGAAGTTTTGCAATTTTTAATTTTAAAGTGCATAATTTAAATTTTTTTACTGTGCATTAAATGCACAGCCCTTCAAGTAATCTTTATAAGTACACATTAAATTGTTAATACATTGACAACAAATGATACGTTTAAATCGTTTTGGGCTTCAAATGTCAAATTGTATAGTGTAAATCTGGTTAGGTAAATCTGGGATGGAGGTAAAATGAACATTTGGGACATTTTACCAGTAAAAATGTATTTATGATTACGACAAATATTTTTTTTAACGTGCAACCCTTAAATATTATAGAACCAATGTACTATATTATATTGTATAAGATTTTTGGTTTCAGGACTTTGATGTTACTCAATAAGTAAATAAGTATAGGTAGGTACCTTATGCCTAATAATCATGTTATATCAAACGAGATGAATAATAGGCACCTTCTTTAATATTTCTATTACAGGCCTCTGAACCGAGAGTGAATTCGGAGTTTTCGATTACTAGTGAATTGTTGGGAGAGAAAAATCCTGTGCACCACAGGGCACAAGACGGAGTTTTAAACTTTTTTTTTTCTATAATCAAAACTAATTTCGAACCATTCGTATGTGCTCAGACGTACCACGCACGCGTTCAACAACTGGTAGACGTATTTCCAGGGCGGAAGGATCGCTGAGATTTCATTAGGAGTTAATTCAACGGCGTGTACATTTTTGGCCGAGGGACTAGCTACTAATGAGGTTCAAGACGTGATGGAACTTCGTCCCTAAAGGTTTTTCTCCCTCTCCCCCCTGCAGTATTTCGCAACGTTTTCCGGGATTTCGATGACGTGGAGATATTTCGGTCGGACGCGATGTCCTATTGCTTTCATCGTCACGGTTTATATATACATACTCTCCAAACGTAACACGATTTTCCCACGTCTGCTGCAGGGCGTTTTCCTCTGTTCATCAATTCGTAATGATTTCGCGATCGTTTACGTATTCAACCGGCGAACTGCTAAGAGCGTCGGAAGTATATATAATATGTAATACAAGCATTATACAGAGTGCGAATGCCTATTTTAAATCGCATTTGAATATAATATATAATAGAGTATGGACATTACATCAAACCCTTGCTCTGTACTACTGCGTACTCACCCCGCCTTATCGATACACATACGATATCATGTTATTACAGAAATATTAGTATTGTTTGGTTTGGGAGAAACATTTATAATATTATGTGAGATTTACTGGATGCGCCAATTGAGCGAATATTGTTGTAATGATAAAAACGCACGAGCACGTGTCACCGTTCGTAAGTGATTTATACGAAGCCACAATAGAGTCTCACGTGTGTGAGAGGCATTAGTGAAAACTGTGGCAGACCGGCGTTATTTTGTCGTTTTAGTTGTTATTATTATGTGTTTTTTTCGCAGAAAAGGTGTGCTTCGGACTGCGAGGCGAGACCAATAATAATATTATATTATAGAAAGCGGATTTGTTCGCTGCAAATCTTCAGCCCAGAGCCGAAAAACGTAACACGTGGCAACCGTGTCTGAATCGATAAACGAAACTATTAGCACGTTTACCTGCGGGAAAACCCGCAATAATTTTGGCGCAAAACAATATGCACCTCTAAGCTGTGTAATCCCGATGTTACCTATACCGACCAGATATACTTTGGATTACAATACTATTTCATTTCGAAAGG